AAAAAAAAAAAAAAAAAAAAAAAGACCCGGTCTTGGGCCCAACCGGATTTCCGGTTGGACCACCGGGGTTCCAACCGGCCCGGTTGTGTCCGTTCCGGTCCAACCGGCCGGTGGCCGGTGCAGCCCTGCTGATCTAATATCTATTTATGGAGGGGGGGCAGGGGGGGGAGGCGGGTAGAGGAGCGAGCTGGGTCGACGCTACCTCAAAACCCACCCCCAGGGACGTGTGGGATGCCCAAAGCGCGGGCGGGGTCCCCGAAGGGAGCAGAACAGTGTCTTAATTGATAACCCAAATTTGGTCTTTTATATGACAGCGGAATCCGAGAAAAAGATGACACTTGATCTTAGCCAAAAGGCCGAGAAAGGGATGGAAATTCACAACGTACTGCAACGGACTGTGGTAAATGAAATACTGTCACGATCAGGGTAACCGGCGTTCGAACGCCCGAACGTATGGGACCCCTTGGGGATGCGTTCGGCCGTTCGGGCCGAACGCGGACCCAAAAAAAAAATAAATAAAAAAAAAATAAAAAAAAAAAAAAAATAAAAAAAATCAAAAAAATCTGAAAAAAAGATATGTTATGAAGAAAAATCAACTAAACAAGATTTGCCTGAGCATTACATCCAAATTCCTTGCCAAATTTGAAATAAAAATAAAATAAGAAAAACAAATACTAATAATAAAAATAACAAAAAATAAAAAAAGAATAAATTTAGTGAGTTCGCGAGCACGTTTTCGACACCGCCATCTTTGGCGATTTTTCATTTAATTTTGGAAGAGCTAAATGCCCTGAAAATTTACATATGTCTACTTCACATAATGCAAAACACACTAAAAAAGTTTCAAAAAATAATAAAATTGTTCACACCCGGAACTAAAGTGAAAACAAAAAGTAAAAAGTGAAAAAAAACGTGGGCAAGCACGTTTTGACACCGCCATCTTTGGCGATGTTTAATTATTATTTGGCTGAGCCAAATGACTTGAAAATTTAAAGTCGTGTACCTCACGTCCTAGAGAACTCACAAAAATAAAATCAGAAAAAAATATATATTTTTAGGTCCCGAAATAATTTTTGGCGGGGGCCGAACGCCGTCGGGTTCGGACCCCGTACGGGACCCCGAACCCCCGTACGTACGGAGGTCTGCCCGGGGACCTCCGTACGTACGGGCTGGTAACCCTGGTCACGATTATGACACTTCATCTGAGTCAAAAGGCCGAGAAAGGTATGAATGATCATGGCAAATGAAATGCTGTCACGATTTCCCACAAACTATGGGCAAACACAATAGCATAGTAGCATAGTAGCATAGTAAGCATATCCTTTGTGCACACTGTAGTCAAAACACTAGTGAAAACATCTAAGAGCAGAAGCTTCAGCTCAATGGTCCATTGTTGTGAACTTCAGCCATCCAAGAGTGAAACGAGATAACTCGTCAACACCTCCTGGCATGTCCCTGACGTGTTCTCGACCTGTGCCAGGCAGGACCATCATCAGGCGGAACAAACCAAAAAAAAAGTCCCCAAATGCACTTTTCTGTGCTGGGGGTGTTAACGTGGGGACGAAAAGTGGGGGTCCCTGTTAACCACTTGTGGTACACAGCCTTGTACTGGATAAGATACTGTCACAAACTGATGTATTGTGGTGACAATGGTTCTGTAAATCGTCTTCTGTTGGAATGATTAAGTCATTATGATGAATGAAGTACTGCCACCATTCCCCACAAACGGTTTAACCTAACCTGCTGGCTGTTGCTGTGTGTCAAGTGCCTCTATCTCTGCTTGTTGTACTCTTGCTAGTTCTTTTTGCAACCCCTTGGAACAGGACCTTTGTCTCCAAGGAAGTTTATGAACCATGCAGAAGGGTTGGACAGCACAAAAATGTGGAGAAGACCCGTAAAAGTTAAGAGAGAGAGAGAGAGAGAGAGAGAGAGAGAGAGAGAGAGAGAGAGAGAGAGAGAGAGAGAGAGAAAATGAGGGTGAGCACAGAATTGTGCTGTGCACACACGGTCATGTCGTATGTCTGCGGTATCGTATCTGCTTTGTAGATGAGCAGGCAGAGACGGACACCCTTTCAGAAAGCTGGCAGCCTGCTCAAAAAAGAAAGAGAGAGAGAGAAAATGAGGGCGAGCACAGAATTGTGCTGTGCACACTCAGTCATTTCGTATGTCCGCGATATTGTATCTGCTTTGTAGATGAGCTGCCAGTGACGGACACCCTTTCAGAAAGCTGTCAGCTTGCTCAAAGTTGCTATTGTATTGGTTACGGGGTTGCATACCTGCCGACCTCTGACCGACACCGCTGACCATTTTGCAACCGACCAATAGGGCCAACCGGTCGGCGGCCTGTCGACCAGTCAGAAAACAGCCATCCACTGATTGTTTTCCAAATCTGAGTTGGGGGCTATACTGCACTTGCTGAGTACAGCCCGGATCCGCTGAGAAACTATTGGGGATGGT